TTTTGTTTGGAGTTTTTGTTATTTTTTACTCTGGACTATTGTTTTTGAGCCTGAAGGTCTTGGGTTTGAGCCCACCACAAGACATTCTCCACCGACTCCAACTGATGTTGTTGTGTCCTTGGCAAGACACTTAACCTCTGGGAACACCAGGTGCCACAGTGGGGCGGCTGTAAAGTGCCAAACTGCCATTGTGTCCTTAGGCAAGACACTTCACCCACATTGCTTAGAATGAGCTTCGTGTGTGCGTGAATGGTTGTTGGTAGTCGGAGGGGCCGATGGCACATACAGGTTGCCTCGCTTCTGTCAGTGTGCCCCAGGGCAGCTGTGGCTACAGTATAGTTTATCACCACCGTGTTTGGAGTGAATGCATAATGACATGTGAAGCATCTTTGAGAGTCCAAAAAAGCGCTATAGGCAAGGCAAGGCAAGTTTATTTGTATAGCACAATTCATACACAAGGCCACTCAAAGTGCTGAACAAACCAAGAAAGCATTAAAATTAGTGCTGTCCAAAATATTGCGTTATTAACGCGTTAACGCAAATCAATATTAACGGCGTCATTTTTTTTATCGCGCGATTAAAAAAAAAACTTTTTATTGCAGACAAACACATATACAGAAAAAAAAATAGAAACAAAGAAAAGGACTAGTTCAGATACATTGTAGACAGAGATTACAAACAATATGTAGTTGGAGATACATGGGGGCCAAAGAAGAAACCCAGAAGGGCACATAGGAGGGGGGGGGGGGGGCATGAAGTGGGAGATGGGGGGAGGGGTTAATAAAAAAAGGCAATACAAGCAAACAGTATACAGTATACAGTATAGATATACCGAAAGTAAACAGAGAAACAGCATAGAGTATTTACATGAACAAATTTACAACATATTTACAGATTGTTTATCATCATCATAATGACACCATGATGTTTCTATACAGTCTATGGTCTATACCCACACATACACACACACACCCACACATACGGGTTTATATGGTTTGTGGGGACCAACTTTTTATTCATCACATGTAGGGACCAGCCTTTCTAAATGTTGTAAAGCTATGAAAAAAATCAAGTATAACTACTATGGCTAGCTTAGCTTATACACAACTTCAAATGTCAGAATTAATGAAGTAATGGCTGGGCCATGACAACTGAGGACTTGGGAAAAATCGATTTTACATGATTAATAGGGACCTAATTTAAATATATGTAAATGTATTTGCATAATTTACACAACGTCCCCCACTACTTATATGTGATTAATGGGGACATTGCACCAGGTGTATTACTGACAAATGGCGAGTATCTGTATTAAACCCTCCAATAAAGGAAAATGAATGTGAATACTGATGGATGAAACAATCACATTTTTAAAATTCTTTTGCTTACTAAATGTAGTGTCACACATATCATATCTGTCACACATAGATATTGCACACTCACATAAAGTGTATGACAATAAATTTTATTCAGTGCACCAAATCGACTCAGATTAGGTCAAAAGGCACACAAAAAGCCCTCTTCTTACATTTGAACATGGTACCCCAGAAGAACAGTCTGGTCAAGAATCCAGAAAGAAGTCTTAAAGTCTGAACAGTAAACAATGAAAGGGGTTCCCAGTATGTATTTAAAAAATAATAATAATAATAAAACCTAAGATTTTGACATTTTTAGTGGGCAATGTTTAAATTAAAAGCCTCTTAATAAAAAAGAAAAAGAAAAACTGCCTTACCAGGAAGTTGGTAACCAACAAGCTAGTTACATTGCAGTTTCCTTTTGGAGGCTGTAATGCGGTTATAAACATAAAATGTTATGTGCTGCCAGTTCCGATTCTTAACGATTTCAGGTTCAGCCTTTAAACACTTCTCGCAGTCCATTTTTCCTGGTACAATGTGAGATGAGATGAACTTCATCATCTGTCATTAACCTCTGTCTTCTGCCAGGGACTTTTCTTCTTCTGTGTGGGTTTGCCTTCAAATAGAGAGAAAAGATCAGAACAGTGAAGTAAATTCCAAACTAAAGCTCTCACCCTTTTCAGTAATGGACCAGGTTCCTCAATCAAAGTGAAAATATTTGCTCTTTACGTAAACTTACATTGTCACTCAAACATCAATTAGCAAACTGTCTTTTGAACTTGCACGCTGTGTAATCACTTACATTGTCCATATCAAAAAACACCCCAGAGCTATCTCATCGGAAAGCCTAATTAGTCACATTTACCATGAAGTATAAAACAAACATCAATGGAATGAACAACAAAGCCAATTTTCCCAGCAATATTCTTCTGTTTGAATTCACCCTGCCATCCTTTCCGGCTGCGGATTTTCAGAGGTCACTACAACTTCTGATTTTCTTCTATAAATTGTGACACTCAATATGGAAAGTAATAACCTGCATAGAACTCTGCTGTTCAGTGAACAGCAAAGGCTGCACTGTTATAAATGTGGTATTCAGAGCTTAACACAAGATAAGCCATAAACTTCCGGCGCCAGCTCCCGCTGTGCAGCTCGTCACTTTGGCTCTCTTCTCTTTCCGACCCTTTCTCTATTTATTTCTTGTAGATGTGTTTTTTTATTTTTTATTTTCGTAGACAAGTGTTTATTTGTGCATTGTGCACACGGGAAGCCTAGCCTCGTGGACCTTCGCACTGGATTAACATGACTTCGGCACTTTTTTCGGAGTTCTCCGCTCACAGAGCCACGAGACCAGCGTGTCCCATTGTTTACACACGGGAGCAGCTTCTCGGACTTAGAGACTCCGCTTTCCGGCACTCAGAGAAGCCGGTGATCCCCTTGGAGATCCGTAGGAGACGCAGGGGCTCCAGAGGAGGCCGAAAGAGAAAGAGGAGACCGTATCTCCCCTCCATCATCATGGGGAACGTACGGTCCATCTCTAATAAGACTGAGGCTGCTTTCAGCTGCTTTCAGTTCTTTCCTGAACTGATATTTAGCTGCTTTGTAGCCGCTGCGGTCCCCCTCCCTGAAAGCAGACTCCTTTGCTTTCCTGAGCTGCCGGAGTTTAGCAGTGAACCAGGGTTTGTCGTTGTTATAGATGACCCTGGTCCTTGTTGGAAGGATGCTATCCTCACAGAAGTGAATGTATGACGTCACAGTGTCCGTGTATTCATCCAAACTGTCTGTGGCAGCTCTGAAAAGGTCCCAGTCTGTAGATTCCATGCATGCAGCTCTTCCACAGCTTCATCAGACCACACTTTGGAGCTCCTCACTGCAGGTTTCGAGAGCTTTAGTCTCTGTCTGTAAGCAGGAACCAGATGTATCATGGAGCGATCTGAGAAGCCGAGGGCTGCTTTGGGAACAGCGCGAAAAGCTCCGCGCACGGTGGTGTAGCAGTGATCCAGAGTGTTGTCCTCTCTGGTCGGGCATTTGATAAACTGTCTGTATTTGGGTAATTCCTGGCTCAAGTTTCCCTTATTAAAATCCCCCAGGATAATAATCAGAGAGTCCGGGTATAAACATTCCATACACAGTACTTGCTCTGCGTCCGCGCATGGCGGTATGTAAACAGAGGCAAGAATGAATGAAACAATTTCGTGCGGGGAGTAATATGGTTTACAATGAATGAAAAGATATTCCAGAGCAGGAGAGCAGTGCTTGGAGATCACTGTCACATCGTTACACCAGTTTGTATTGACGTAGAAACACAGCCCACCGCCTCTGCTCTTCCCTGAGAGCGCACAATGGCGATCCGTGTGGAACAGCCCAAAGCCCTGCAGCTCCAGAGCGCAGTCCGGGATCCAATCATTTAGCCAGGTCTCAGTGAAGCAGAGGACACAGGATGTGGCGAAGTCCTTGTTTCTTCTCATGAGCAGGCTGAGTTCGTCCATCTTATTGCCCAGTGAGCGTACGTTGGAGAGAAAAATGCCGGGGAGAGCCGTGCGCGCTCCTCTCCTCCTAAGACGCACCAGCAGGCCTCCGCGCTTTCCCCTTTTACGGGCCCACACTTTTTTGGCTAGAACATGAACTAAATCAGCCGCAGATGCCAAGAAAACAGGCAATAGGTCCATGGGAACGGTGGGTCGGATGTTCATAAGTTCCTCACGGGTGTAGGAACAGCCAGATGCACAGTTAAAAAGTAAAAACAAAAGAAAAAGAGAGCAGCAAAGAGCCATGTCGACCGTACGAGGCGCCATCTTGTTTGTGATCTCACCAACTACAAACCCAAAGCCCCCCCCTGTGCTGATGACCACAAGCTAGCTGACGAACTGAACTTATTTTTCAGTCGCTTTGATGCTGCCCCTGACACCTCTCCCTCCCCCACCCCCCACTACTCTAACGACCCACCCATCAGCCCTGCCCCCAGCCTAACAATAGCCGCTAAAGAGATTAAACAACTCTTCTTGAGGCTGCACCCCCGCAAAGCTCCTGGCCCGGACCACGTGTCTCCGGCCACTCTGAGACACTGCGCCAGTGAGCTTACTCCTGTGTTCACGGACATTTTCAACACCTCTCTGCAGTCCTGCCATGTCCCGGCCTGCTTCAAATCCTCCATCATTGTCCCCGTCCCGAAGAAGCCCAGGATCACAGGACTCAATGACTACAGACCTGTAGCACTTACGTCTGTCGTCATGAAGTCATTTGAACGCCTGGTTCTCTCCCATCTCAAGTCCCTCACCTCCCCCCTCCTGGACCCCCTGCAGTTCGCCTACAGAGCCAACAGATCTGTAGACGACGCCATTAACCTGGCCCTCCACCACATCCTACAGCACCTGGACTCCCCGGGGACCTACGCCAGGGTCCTGTTCGTGGACTTCAGCTCTGCCTTCAACACAATCCTGCCATCCCTGCTCCAGGACAAGCTCTCCCAGCTCAACGTGCCCGATTCCACCTGCAGGTGGATCACTGACTTCCTGACGGCAGGAAGCAGCGAGTGCGTCTGGGGAAGAATGTCTCGGACCCTCGGATTATAAATACAGGAGCCCCACAGGGCTGTGTTCTTTCTCCCCTGCTCTTCTCCCTGTACACCAACCACTGCACCTCCAGCCACGACTCCGTGAAGCTGATCAAGTTCGCGGACGACACCACCCTCATTGGACTCATCTCCAACAACGATGAGTCTGCCTACAGGAGGGAGGTGGACCGGCTGGTGTCCTGGTGCAGTGGTAACAACCTGGAGCTGAACGCCCAGAAGACAGTGGAGATGATTGTGGACTTCAGGAAGAGCACTGTCCCCCCGCCCCCACCCTCCGTGATGGACTCCCCCATCACCTCTGTGGAGTCCTTCCGTTTCCTGGGCACCACCATCACCCAGGACCTCAAGTGGGAGCCGACCATCAGCTCCCTCATCAAGAAGGCCCAGCAGAGGATGTACTTCCTGCGGCAGCTCAGGAAAGCCAAGCTGCAGTTCTACACGGCCATCATCGAGTCCATCCTCACCTCCTCCATCACCGTGTGGTTCGCTGGAGCCACAGTCAGGGACAAACAGAGACTACAGCGCATTGTGCGCTCTGCAGAGGAAGTGATCGGCCGCAGCCTTCCATCGCTGCAGGACCTGTACGTCGCCCGAGCTCGAGGCCGGGCTGGTCGTATCACAGCCGACCCCTCTCACCCTGCACATGGACTATTCCAACCACTCCCCTCAGGCAGGAGGCTGCGGTCCATCAGGACTAGAACCTCCCGCCACAAGAACAGTTTCTTCCCCTCTGCTGTTGGACTCTTGAACACTTCTTAACCTGTCCCCCGCCCTTTATAAAGTCACTTTACTGCCCATCATACGTCACTTTACTTCACTGTACTGCTGTCACCTTACATTGTGTGCACCATGTGCACTTGTATATTGTAAATAGTAACTGTAACTCTATTTTAAATTTAAATTTATTCTTTAGAAGTGTTTTTTATTCTTATTTTTATTATCTCTTTTTGACTGTTGCACTGAGCCAAAGCAATTTCCTAGTCTGTGACCTCCTGTTACTTACGTGGAAATAAAAATGATTCTGATTCTGATTCTGATTCTGATTCTGAGGAGCTGACCGCACTGGTCCGCCATCAAAGAGAGTACAGACAATGTGGACTTATGTGTTTCTCTGAGACGTGGCTGTGTGGGAATAAACCGGACTCTGTGGTCGCGCTGGAGGGATTTAAACTTGTGCGAGCGGACCGCTGCGCGGAGGGGAGTGGGAAGAGCAAAGGCGGGGGTGTCGCGGCCTACGTGAACGAGCAGTGGTGCATCCCGACGCACGTGCATGTGGTCCAGCGCACATGCACCCAGGACCTGGAGCTACCCGCTGTGAGCATGAGACCCAGGTATCTGCCGCGGGAGTTTTCACACACCGTGGTTCTATGTGCCTACATCCCCCCGTCAGCAGACGCAGCCGCAGCATGTGAGGAGATGCACAGAACTGTGACCCAGATCCAGACCCGCAGTCCCCGCGCTCTGATTCTGATCAGCGGAGACTTTAACCACGCCTCCCTCTCCGCCACTCTCCCGACATTCAAACAGTATGTCACGTGCCCATCTCGTGGCAATAAGACTCTGGACCTACTGTATGTTAATGTCCGGGACGCATACGCATACGCCTCCTCCCCCCTCCCCCCTCTCGGACGCTCTGATCACAGCCTGGTCCGTCTGTCTCCGGAATACACACCAGTGGTGAGAAGAAATCCAGCGCAGAAGAGGATTGTAAAAGTGTGGAGCGATGATGTGGATGAGATGCTGAGAGATTGTTTTCAAAACACTGATTGGGAAATGATGTTTGCTCTCATGGTGAGGACATCGAGAGCCTGACACACTGCATTACAGACTATATTCTCTTCTGTGTGGATAACACTGTACCAACTAAGAAGGTGCGGTGTTTTTCTAACAACCACCCATGGGTGACCCCTGAGCTTAAAGCCCTCCTGAACCTCAAGAAAAGGGCTTTCATCTCAGGGGACAGGGAGGAGCAGAAGAGGATCCAGCACGAGCTCCAGTGGAGGATCAGGAGGGCCAAAAAGGACTATGGGAAAAAGCTGGAGCAGAAGCTGGCCCAGGGAAACGCCCGCGACGTGTGGAGAGACAGAGTGCCAGAGGAACAGCAGATGGAGACCAGCACCGGGCGGACGAATTTAACCAGCACTTCAACCGGTTTGATTCTCCCCCCCTCTCCATCTGCCCCCCCTCCCGCCCCCACCTCTTCACACGTCCCCAGCCCAGTGGACACTGCCTCCGGCTGCCCCGGGCCCTCCTGCCCCCGCATCCCCAGCCCCCACCTCGGACAGTACATCCCAGTCCCCCCCGCTCTCCATCACACCGGACCAGGTGAGGAGTCAGCTCCAGCGCCTGAAGCTGAGGAAATCCGCAGGACCGGACGGGATCAGTCCCAGGCGGCTGAGGACCTGTGCAGACCAGCTCTCTGGGGTCCTCAGCTACATGTACAACCTGAGCCTCAGCCTGGAGAAGGTCCCTGTCCTGTGGAAGACCTCCTGTGTGATCCCGGTTCCAAAAACAGCACACGCCAAGGAACCGGCTCACTACAGACCAGTCGCACTGACCTCCCACCTGATGAAGACAATGGAGCGGCTCATCCTCACTTATCTCCGCTCCGTGGTCAGCCCCACCCTGGACCCGCTGCAGTTCGCCTACAGACCCAACATCGGAGTAGAGGACGCCGTCATCTACTTCCTGCAGCGGACGCTCTCCCACCTGGAGCCCGCCGGGAGCGCTGTGAGGGTCATTCTTTTCGACTTCTCCAGCGCTTTCAATACCATCAGGCCGGCACTGCTGCGGGGGAAGATGGAGGACGCGGGAGTGGACAGTAGCCTCACTGCATGGACCATCAACTACCTCTCAGACCGACCACAGTACGTGCGGCTGCGCAGCTGTGAGTCTGAGGTGGTCGTCTGCAGCACTGGGGCCCCTCAGGGCACTGTCCTCTCACCGTTTCTCTTCACCATCTACACCTCAGACTTCACACACGACACACACAGCTGTCACCTGCAGAAGTTCTCCGACGACTCCGCCATCGTGGGCTGTGTGTCTGAGGGGAACGAACTGGAATATCGGTCGGTTATCAAGGACTTTGTCGACTGGTGTGAGCGCAACCACTTGTGCTTGAACACCAGTAAGACCAAGGAGATGATCATCGACTTCAGGAGAAAACCACTTTCCCACACGCTGCTGAACTCCAGGGGGAGGACATTGAGCTGGTGGACAGCTTCAAGTACCTGGGTGTTCACATTAACAATAAACTGGACTGGTCCCATAATACAAACGCCCTGCACAAGAAGGGCCAAAGTCGCCTCTTCCTTCTGAGGAGGCTGAGGTCCTTCGGAGTGAGCAGGCCTCTGCTCAGGACTTTTTATGACTCTGTGGTAGCTTCTGCCATTTACTACGCTGCCGTGTGCTGGGCCCCGGGCAGCACAGAGCGGGACAGAAACAGACTGAACAAGCTGGTCAGGAGGGCCAGCTCCACTCTGGGCTGCTCCTTGGACTCTGTGGAGGAGGTGAGGGACAGGAGGGTGCTAGCCAAAGCCACCTCCATCATGAACAATACCTCCCACCCACTGCACAGGACTGTAGAGGAGCTGAGGAGCTCCTTCAGTGGAAGACTGAGGCACCCTCAGTGTAGGAAGGAGCGCTACCGCAGGGCCTTTATCCCCACCGCTGTCAGACTGTACAATAAGTCACTTTAAATGATCACTGTGTGAAAACCTGCACTACTATTGACACGGTTTCCAATTGACACTTGTCACTTTTGTTGTACATAATTATTGTCACTTTATTGTACATATATCCTGCATGTAACATGTTTGCACATTTCCTCCCTTTGCACAATCTGAGTGTCTCTATCCATGCCAAATGTGACATGTAAATTTCTCCTCTGTGAGATAAATAAAGCAATCTTATCTTATCGTTATCTTGCTTTTTAGATGTTACAAAATAAATTGAAATTACTTATTTAAATCCTTATTTATGCGGGTTGTGAGTATACTCATAATCTGTAAAGTAATAGAAAAATCAGAACCTCATATATTTAACAAAAACTATACACACAGTTAGTTTTAAGGCTTTTTCGATCCACACCAACACACAGTCTGTTTTAAAGGCTTTAGATCCACTCAAATACACAGTCTCGGTTTAAAGGCCTTTTAGTTTAGATTCCACTACCACCCCAGGTCTAGTTTTAAAGGCTTTTGATCCACTCTTGTTTTGGGTTTTGGGTTTTGCTCTGCCTCCCCCCTCCTTTTGTTGTTTTTAAAAGATGTGTGAGACCGGGGGGTGGCTGGCTCGAGCAGCGGTGTGTGTGGGCTCCACACCACCTGTTCCTTCATAATCACCCTGGCTTCAGCTACCTGTTGGAACTTTCACGTTCGCTGCCAGATTATACCTATGTCAGACGTCAGTATACAGCAACAGTCTGAGTTTGTGCTTTGCGGATTGTCTTATGGTTTTTTTGTGTCTGTGTTCAGGTCCTCCTTTCCTGACAGCCAGCCAGCTCCCTGTCTCAACCGCCCTGCTTTAAGTTTATTCGTTTTTGTAAAGTAATCCTCTTATAATTTCGCTCTGTCTCGTCTCTGCTTTGGGGTCCAGAACAACTCCCGTAACAACTCCAACACACAGTCTAGTTTTAAAGGCTTTTAGATCCCTCCAAACACAGTCTAGTTTTAAAGGGTTTTTAGATCCACTCCAACACAGTCTAGTTTTAAAAGGCCTTTTAGATCCACTCCAAACTCAGTTAGTTTTAAGGCTTTTAGCATCCACTCCAACACACGTCTAGTTTTAAAGGCCTCCTTTTAGATCCTCTCAAACACAGTCTAGTTTTAAAGCCTTTTAGATCCACACATACACATGTCGAGTTTAAAGGCCTTTTAGATCCAACTCAAACACAGTCTAGTTTTAAAGCCTTTTTAGATCCACTCATACACACTGTACATTTTACGTCTATTTGTGTTCCATTCAAAATGGAGTCACGATGCTTTAGATACTTTAAGTGACGTTGAGTAAATCTCTTAAGTACAGGAAAGCAAGTGATTCATTTACATATTATTGAGTGAAACAATGCCTTTACTGCATTCTGGTGTTTAGTCTCCAGACTATAACATGGTTGTTGGGCAACATAACGTTATCAGGAGTGCCATAATTTCATCAGTCTTTGATGCTTAAAACGGTAAACAATGTTTTAAGAACAAGATAGACAAGTCTAACAGCGGATAGAAAACATTTTCAAACAATCTCTTTGATTGTAACATTTCCAGTTTAGAAACACTTATCGTAGTTCTTTTTTCCGGACACAGCAAGAGGTTATGAAGGACCATAGTGCTTCTCCATAACATTAATCTTCCTTCTCCTGCCACCTTTCATGGTTGACATGCTGATGGAGGTGTTGGGAACTGAGGAATAGAGTAGAGCAGAATTAGCCACACATTACAGTACACAGTATTTAAAAACCGGACTTCATACATATATCTATTCCTTTTTTTATACTGTGAATTTTGGCTCATTGTAAAGCTTTTTTCAGACTTCAATAGTGTAATTGTCCTCATCAAGATCAAGATCTACCGCTTCCTCCTCAGTCAGAGTATGTGTCTTGTCTTTCTGGAAGACATACACACTTTAAAGACAATTTAGCTGAAGCCCATTAATAAATATTCTTGTGTGGCTAAGATTTAGGCAAGCTTGCAAGTACACCATTGCCACTCCAAACCCAATAGCTATTTTTTCAGGGACTATGAAACTATAGACAGAACAACAAAAAGGCATTGAGTAATTTTGTATACCAAGTTATTATAGTGTCACTGTCAATATCAACCTCCACGAGTTATTCAAGGTAACCAATAACTTCGTTAAACCAATAGTAGGTCATATCTGTATAGTGTAAATAACAATGGGATACATCGTTGTATTTGGGAATGAATATCCAATTAAGTTCTCGTAAACTATTCGAACACCAGCAAAAACTCTGCAGTTCCCTCCAACATCAGTGGATCTGACGCGTATCTTGGTGTGTCCTTGGGTCTCTTTAGTATAGTAAACCAGAATCTTAGTTTTGAGTAGTGTCAAGGATACGTTTGGATGCTCTGCAAGTCCCTACAACAGTTTGACCAAACATGTGTGTATTACGGATATCTTCAGTATGTACTTGCAGACGGTGAACTAATGGAGTGTTGTTTCTTGTGAGTTGTATGTTCCATTAATCTGGGCAATTGAAAGCACGGTGTGGAAGTTATGCTTTCACGCTGAGAATGTTCAAATCAACCCTTCCAACAACATGTTTTAAATAAAACAGTTACCTTGTCAAGGTTTTCTGAATGCTTGAGTATCTTGGTTGACATGTTTGCCCTCAGCAAAGTGGGTTCAAGATTCTGGTATCTCTCCATAAAGACAAAGAGACATAGTACAACACTGTTTGATACAACACTCCGGGATACCATCAATTAACAACCTTTTCTGTGGTAAAGTTACAATGTTGTAATTCCTTCTATCTAATCAACTTCCTCTGTTGAGTTTCAAAGTGTATTTGAAAGAATATCCACTACGTTCAACCTGCCACTGTGGTCCCATAAACTTGTATTGAAAGTAGTTACTGGACCAATCTGGAAGAAAAAGTAAACTACAAAAAAGCACATACCCAGAATTAGTTATTAAATTCAGTTGTAGACTAAACTCTGCTTATCATTCGTGTATCTGTATGTGGGGTTCCTGGACTTCTTTAGTATTGTATAAAACAGGAAACTATTCACACACCGGCCTTCAAGAAGAATTTATTTACAGCTTAGAGGAAGCTGCTGCTGGTGGTCCCCACAATGCAGACCTGAAGTGTGTGTCATGGTCCTCTCTAGTTATAGTAAACCAGAAAGCATGCCCAATAAGACTTCAAAGACATTATTATTTACAGTCTTAGAGAAGCTGCTGTGGTTCCCACACAATGCAGACTGACGGGTGTGTCATGGTCCTCTCTAGTATAGTAATACCCGAAAGATTTGCACACACAGACTTCCAAGACATTATTATTTTTCAGCAGGGGTGTCCAAATTTTTAGTAAAGAGGCCACATTAGTTCACAGACTAGTTCAGGGGGCCGACATTCAGACTCGATAAAAACTGTCTTGACTTATATTTAAAATGATCTATAACAGAGCTGAAGGTTGGAGCTGGAATGAACATGTTTACCATCTCACCAGCTATATTAGCAATCTTTAACGGGAAGTTTGAGACACCTCAAATACCATGTCACACCGGATGTACAAATTACAACTGGAATTTGGCATGGGCTTCAGATACGAGGTCATACTGTCTGAGCTGAAAGTTGGCTGGATGACACAAGTGAACTTGTGTTTATGATCTTCATAAACCACTTTGGTGTTAGCGCGGGCAGAGGGACAAATAACATGACATGAGGCCGCATTTGGCCTCCGGGCCGGTTTTTTTAGGACAGCCTGATTTACTGCTTAGAGAAGCTGCTGCGGTCCCACAAAATGCAGACTTGAAGTGGTTGTGTCGATGGTCCTCTCTAGTATAGTACAACCCAGAAGATGCACACATAAGACTTCAAAGACCTTATTATTACCAAACACTTTCGAGAAAAAGCTGTGGTATCCACAAATGCGACCTGAAGTTTTGTTTTGTATGGTCTTTAGTCTAGTAAACCAGAGAAGATGCACACACAAGACTCCAAAGACATTATTATTCACAGCTTAGAGACGCTGCTGCCCGGTCCCACAAAAAAGCAAACCTGAAGAGTGGGTTCGGGTTCTAGTATCGTAAAATCAGAAGAATGAGCAACAACTGAAAATTAGATCTTACAATTTAGAGGAAGCCTGCTGCTGTCCCACAAAACAGATGATCTTTGTTGTGTGTTTGGACCTCTGTCATATAGGATCTACCTTTGAGTACTGTTTCTATCATGGAATACCGTGTAGACAACCTCTGTGCAAACTCCAACGTCTCTCTAGTATTATTAGCAGATACGTGAACTAAACAAGTGTATATTCATGTGAGAAAAAAAAAACGTTACACAAAAACAATCTGTCTCTAGTGCTATTTGTCTACCCCAAAATACGGTCAATATGTATTGCAGAAAAACGGGGGGTTTCACAAAGTATTTAACTCATTTGTATAATGAATACTTGTGCAGGTCCAAATTATTTAAAAAATAATAAACAGAATCATGTAGTTTTGACTTTTGCTTCACAGTTGTCTGTTACTTGTGTGTGAACTTTCAATAAAAAGTTCACAAATGTTCACGCTGAATTCAAAGTTTTTTGAGAGGCCCTGTCTGTAAAAGAGAGCGCGAGATTGAGAGCTACCAACTTTGGGGCATCTCTGGGGTGCCCGCGGGACCATGGTTTTGCCCCACCCACTGTTGTAGCTTGGTTCCCCAGTGGAAAGACCGGTTATGAAATGTCTGGACACGAGACCCAAAAAAAAACCACGCGGGGACCTCAGCCGTGTCTATGGTGCGCACGATGAAAGTCACTGATCCGGTCTGGATCTGGTCTCAGGTCTCAAAACCATGAAGGATGTCCCCGTGGACTCGCACGCCGCGGGGTGCCGCTCTGTCTCTGACCACTTCACATTCTGATCCTCATCAGCCCACGATGAGTACATTATGAATGAAATACGGTCTTGCTCCGGGGACCTCCACCCGTGCCTATGGTGCGCGGTGAAAGTCATGCTCGGTCTGGATCTGGTCTTCAGTTCGACCACCGCAGCGGGAGGCATCTCTGTCTCCTGACCACACTTCACATTTCTGCTTCTCTCAGCCCTTGATGAGTTACATTGAATGAAATGCGGTCTTGCTCCGGGGACAAAAAATGCTCCGTCATGTTTTGTTGCGTTAAGTAAAACAATCTGCAGCGTGTTTTTTGAGCTGATGTTTACGTGCTTGCGAACTTTAAAAACTATGTTCTACAGGTGTGATTGAGCTGACAATCATGGTTAAATATAGCATCATTTCACATAAATACAAGTGATTTACTTGAATAAAATGCGCTTGCAATAATTACGTGAGCCTTGTCATATTAGAAACATAGATATTAACGATTCTCAGGTCAATGTTATAGTTTATTTGTATTTGTCAATCCTCATGAATTATACTTAATTAAGGAGATAATTAATAATAGATAATTTATTTACGTATTGATGTGGTGTTCACAATCCTGAGCTCCGCACACCGGGCAGGCGCCTCACCGAGACCAGGGGCCGCACTGAGCTCACGGGACCAGGTGGCCGCACTGAGTCACCGGGACCGGGCTGCCCGCACTGTGCTCACCGTGACCAGGTCTCAGTGCATGATGTGGCGAGCATTAAATACGTTATTCTGCAAGATATTAAAAACTGCAATAATGTTTAAACAAACTATATGAAAATATGTTGTACCGCTAATGTGCTTCTAGCTAGCTAGGGATAATGTAACTTAAGCAGCTAACTCTTCATGAGTTCTGCCTCTTTTAACTTCCCTTATTCACAATGGCAGGCTGTAACAG